AATAAGGTAATACAATGTAATAATGTAACGTATACCAGCATTTCTTTCATTTATTTATTTATTTGTTTGTTTATTTATTTATTTATTTAGACAAGGTCTTGCTGTGTATTTCGGGGCCTGGCCTTGAGATCACAGCAATCCTTCTGCCTCAGCCTCCCAGGTGCTGGAACTACAGGCATGTGCCACCATGCCTGGCCCATGCCCGCATTTTTGAGGCACTAAAAAGTGTTGATGTTCCTCTTTACTTGAAATTAATAATAGACTTGCGGGTGGGTACTGGCAATTTGAACACAGGGCCATTACACTGAACTACATCCATGCCCCTCCTACCTTTTAATTCTCAATTTTTATCTTCAGACTGGATCTCATTAAGTTGCTGAATTGCCAGGCTGGGCTAGAACTTGCAATCCTCCTGCCTCAGCTTCCCAGCATGATTACAGGCATGTGCCACCATGTCTCGCTACTAGAGACGTAACTGTGATCATTTTTGTCACTCTATAAAGCAGTAGCTTTTGACTTCCTATCATGATAAATAAGGAGGTGTGAAGATTGTACCTGCTCCCTCTACCTACATATTTTTTGTGTCTTATGCATCCCCTGTTTGTTTTTCACTCACAGTAGCAATATAATATAATACTTGCCTATCTACAGCAGTGAGAATTACAAGATATTCTTTTGACTTCAACCAGAGAGCTCTGGATTATTCCTTTCATTGTTCTCTGAAGAAAAGGATGAAATTCATTCATTCATTCATTCATTCACAGTCATCACTACATCACAATTCTACAACTTTTTGTTACCAAGCAAATTGAGTACAGAAATCATATGTGTCTTTCACCATGGAGTTGTCTGTCACCTTAATCTTTCTTGACTTTGTCTAAATAATACCTTCCTTTGGGAAGCTTTCAGACCCTTATTTAAAGAAAAACAAAAGTAAAAACTGGAGAATTTATAATGCAATTGGTTTTCTCTTTCTTGAGACTGGGGAACCTTTCAACTTCCAGTCTTTTTTTGATTTTTCAGATTTCTTTGCACTGTATTCCTTGCTTATTGTTTCATTCTTTTTTTTTCCCAGAAATCCCTGTAATTCAAAGTTTGAATCACAGCACTTTGTCTGCAAGTCTGTGAGCATTCATTCACTTCAGATCTTGCTTAATTTATGTTTAGTGGTTCTTGAATCTGCTTCCAACTTCACCAATCCAGTTTTCTGCTAAGCTGATTCTTCGTGTACTGCTTCTACCACCTGCATTCATTGGGCACAACTAAATTTATCCCGTCTGGTTTTAATGCCCTGTCACTGTTCTCATCAAGCTGTTGATCCAGAAGGCCCACAGTGACTGTGTCCCGTCCTCCTCACCCATACTTCAGCCTGTTATCTGGCCACACCCACCAGACACAATATTCTCTTGGGTACATACACCTATGAACCTTGTAACATAACTTCTTAACTGGGTGTCGTAGTTATTCATTTATATGTTTCTCTGATACTGTATAAACCTGGGCAGGTACTATGACACAAAGGGCAGGTATTTTTATGTCCCCAGTACCCAGCACAAGTGCTTGGCATTTTATTACCCTCATGTTTTATTTAAGGAGAGGTTAACTTTTGTCACATGGTCTTCCTTGTTTTCCTCTTTATGGGATGTGTTTTTATTACAGTCAAGCTGTTATTTTTCTCTTGTTTGTTTTCTTGTACATAATTTACTGAGTCTTAAGATGTGGTCTTACAGTAACTTACCCTAAATTACTCTATAGTGTATTTGACCCCTCAGTCTGGGTTCGGGAACCATTTCTGAAAGTGACCTGTGAAAGGTCCCCTCACTGTTCAGTAGTCAGATTGCAGGCCTCGGTCAAGCAGGACTGGCTTCTGTAGCCTAGTTTGTTTAGCCTGAAGCCTGAAATTGTGTCCAGCTTTACCAGTATGCTGGGCTAAAATTTGAAAGCCAGCTATACTCAGCCACAGTGAGTACAGGAGTCCTCCCCTGTTTTAATAGCTTACCTCCAAGATTATTTTGTGTTCTAATTCTTAAACATTTAAGAAAAAGGGGGGCTTTATTAATTTCTATAAAATGATGTGTTTTGTTTTTAAACCTCAGTATTGAAAATGAGTAAAAGTTCTCCGGTGTCTTACCTCTCAGAAATAAGCACATTAGAATATATTTTTGCATACATACATAAGAAATGTGAGTACCAGTTTCATAAATGGCATCGTGCACAATTGCTGTCCTGAAGTGTTTTTTTGGCTTACCAGGGTGTTTAGATACCATTGTGTATCAATAATCAAAGATGTGAAGTGTCTCATTTTTTGTCGTTAATCATCATTACCTGTGTTTGGATGTTTAATTTTCATATAAATAATGCTGTGGTAAACATTCAACATATATGTTTACATTTGTGTGAATATTACCTCTGTACAGCTTTTTTCCAGAGGGCATGCCGGTGTGTGTTATGGATGTCGATGTGGCCAAGATGCCTGTCAGAAAGTTGTACTAACTTATACCCCATCTGCAGTGCATGAAAATACTTTTTGCCCCATTTAGTTTTTGTCATTTACTGTCTGTGAGCTAAAGACTCCCAGTTCACAGCTCTAACTTCAGATCTTTTCTGTTCTTAAGCTATATCAGAATTTCTAAGACATGTTTTTGGAAAATGTCTTTTTGATTAGAAAGTATGAATCTAAATTTTTAAGGATATAATCAGATTTCTACTTCTGATTCCTAATTTAATTTTATATATATACTTAAAATAATTTAGAAATACTACTTTGTTTACTGTTTCATGAAAAATTTCAGTTCTTTATTTTTTTGGTATTTTGTCAATACTCGAATGACATACTTTTCCAGATCCTCTCCACCTCCCTTCCAGTTCACGTGAAATATGTGAATTTGAGTCTTTGCAGAATTGTTTACCCCAACCTTTCTGGGTGTATTCATGATTCCATAACCTAAGCATGTACTGAATCGTCTTTTTTAAAAAAATTATTTTTGGTACTGGGCATCAAACTCAGCACCTTGTGCTTGCAAGGCAGGCAGAGGAACCACTAAGCTAAATCCCCGGGCCGCTGAATCACCTTTTTCAAGAGATCATTGAAAGATTGCTGGGCAGTGATACCTAATACAAGCCATGGTGAAGCAATACAACAAGGAATAATTACTACACCTTTTTGTTTTGCTGCTACTGCTGCTCCACCCCACCCCTTTCTTTCTCATTCTCTTACCAGTGGTATCAGATTACCTCTTGAAACAATTATTGGCTAATGTGTCTGTTCTGCATAGTAGTGTGAGCTTTTTTCAAAATAAAATAATTCATGGATCATTCTCTGATAATTTCTAAGTTTCAAATATAAGATGGCTTTCTCTTCTCAGAATAGTTTTGGGTGTTAAATCTCATTCTCTCATATTTTCCTTCTCTACTACCATTGAGAACCTAAATCATCTGTCCTCTGGACAGAGGCCCTCAGTTTTGACTGTGTACCCCATACCTATCCTTGGCCCCTCTGTGTGTTCGCCACAGTTACATTTTTAATATGCCAGTCTAATCTTTTGTTTGCTTAAAGCCTATGAGTGTTATTTCTTGACTACCTTCCCAGTGTATTGTGCTTCCATGTGGCTCTTATCATTAGCATGTGGGCCCTCCAGCCTGCTGTAGATTACATAGAGCCTCTGTTTATTCAGATGTCTGAAGAGGTAAAACCTAGGGAGGAACCTGGAAGCCAGAGTAGCTATGTACAGGGTGCTTTCTTTCCCTGTCTCCAGCTCCTGCCTGTAAAAAGTTTGGGAAATGAAGGTAGTAGTTTCATTTGGTTCTCTCTTTGCTTTAGGGTGAGCTAATGATCAATTAATGGTCACCCAGGCGCAGGTTATATACCTTTTAATTTGTAGAGCAACATTCACCATTCTACTCTCAATTACTCTGATCTGCAGCTTTCAAGTAACATTGCCTGCTAACTTCATCCTTCCCAGTTAAGAACCTTGGACAGAAGAAAATTCTTCAATGAGTTCCTCCTTCAGTCTTGTTCTGCCCTCTCAGAACTCATGCAATAAATTGGGGGCGTCAGTGTGGCCTTCCAAAATTTTTTGCACCCAGAGCCTGAAAATTGTGCTGGGCTTAATTGCCTGTTATCGCTTGTATTTTTCGGAACTGATACTTGGGCAGAGTATCGTCAGAGGTTACCTAACTACCTCCCTCCCTTCTTCTCTCTCTCTCTCTCTCTCTCTCTTTCTCTCTTTTCATTAGTTCTTTCTCATTTTATTCTGTAATGGAGAGAGAGCTTTTTTTAAACTGACTTATATGGTCGTCTTACCTAAAAGACTCTCCTGGGGTCAGGGATTTAGTTCACTGGCACAGCGCCTGTCTTGCAAGCTCGAGGTCTGGAGTTCAATTCCCGGTACAAAAAAAAAAAAAGACTCTCCTCTGGTTCTTTAACTGATATTTTACATAACCGTATTTTGTAAGCATACAAAAATTCCTTTTATATGTGTTGATCAAGCAGATTAGAAATGGAAATACTTAAATTATTTTGTTTGGTGAATAAGTGTTGATTCTCCCTGGAATCAAATTACTTTGGATGTAAAATATAATTTTTAGGTCTCAACTATCTACCTTAGAAAATTTCTAAGGATTACTGTAAATGTCTATTAAAAAAAAAGAACTACCAGAGGGAAAGAGATCATTAAATTATTCCTGTAATAGTGGTTAATTAGCCTGCTCTCTGAACTCAGAGCTTGAGATTGTTTACATAATGAATCCACTTAAAATGCAGAATGATTTCCATAATGGTCATCTCAGTGGTCATCTCCACCTTTTCTGGGTAAGCGTGGTAATCACATATATCTGTATTTCCTTTCAGCTGTCTCTTTATCAGCTGTTGTAGTGAAATGTCGGCTGTTGTAGTGAAATATTGATAAGAGATCTTCCAGTTTAAGTCTTAGACATTTTGTCAAAGAATGTAACTTTGATTTGCAAAGACTGCTGAATCCATTTATTCTGTTTTCAAGGAAAATGACAGGGCACAATAGATGGCTTTGTACCTTCCTGTCAAGAGGATGAAGCGTTATTACTATGATTCAGTTATTGGTATGCCACCCAGGCATTGCTTCTCTGCCATTATAACAGGTGTGCTAATGATTTCTGAAGTGGGTGTCACAAAGAAAAAATTGTAAATAGCCTCAGGGTAGCACTTTTAAAATAATAGTTTAAAAAACAAACAAACTAAATCTACATATTCCCAGCAAAAAGTTTAGAAAAGGAGCCAGTTTTAATAATTTACTCCTTCTTTCCTCTCTGTTCTGCCAGGAAGTTTTCATTGTACTTTAATTTTCCTAAAATATGACTTTTAAAAGAAAATTTGTATTATTTTGCTGTGCCTTACCTAACATGATTTTCATCTTATTTTTAAATGTAGATTCTAGTTCTATAGTTTATCAGTTGAGTTTCCGTTACAAGAAAAAGTGGCTGCTGTTTAACATAGGTATGTTGAAGAAATGAAGCAGTTGGTGTGGAGGGTACAGAAGGGTGGGGTGCTATAGGCCTGGTGTAATTGCCTCCAAAATGAGAATACCTGTGCATAGATGCAACAGCGTTTTCCTCTAGGGCACCAACTCTGTCCTATACATTTCGTCCTGGCCACTTGTCTGAATGTTTATTATTATTTGTAAGTATATCATATACAGAAATACTTGCTTTATTTAAGCAAATAAAGACCATAAAAATGTAGCATAATGATGGGATTTGTTTATACATAATTGTTGAGGACCAGAGGAGAATGAAGGCCTAATTGGCCTCCTCTGTGAGCACAAAGGAGAAAGGCTGCACTTAAGGATGATTGCATATTAGGGAAAATTTAAGACAGCTGAGGTTAAGTTGTTTACCAGAGAGTGTACTGGAAATCAGATGAATCCTGTGTTACCTTGATTGCTCGTGCCCATGTTTGGGTCAATAAAAGTGAGGCGCCTTGAAGGCTCTGAACTCCTCTGCCAACTAGGAACTGAGCCCCCTGCCTGAATGTGGAGCTGCCTCTCATCTCTTTATTATTCATCCTTGTTTCAACCCTGGGTCAGGGAGGAACAAAGTAGTGGCTCTGGGCCCTAGAACCAGGCAAACCAGGTGAGCTGGCTACAGGTGGTGCCCCAGTGTGGAGCTGGGGACCCGGGGTCCTCTACACGTGATTTCAGAAAATTAAGAAATTTCAGTGCTGCGTTAATATGGAATTATACACAGTAATAGGCTTTAGGGGGGTGGTGGTTGCAAAACAGGCGCCAGAACCACTGAGCTAAATAAATCCCTGGCCCTGAGCTTTTAAGAATGGCTATTTTCAGTATGGTACAGTTCAGGTTTTTTTTTTTTTTTTTTCAGATATGTAGACTAATTAAACCAAAAAGTTCTTTCTCCAGCAATGCTCCCAGTTCTTCTGATTGTATGTGCATTAAAGAATTATAAACAAAGTAGATAGGGAAACAGGTAGAAGATGAAAGAAAGAAGGGGGGAAAATCTTTTTGGGGTGTGTCCAGTGTGTGCAGAAGTAGACTTGACCTTAAGATTGATCGATGTGCGGGAAGGGCCACACATGAAATCTAACCAGCACATTTCTCTGATGGCTGCTTCCAGGAGCCCGCGGAGAGCGGATGCTCCTACTTTACACGCTCTGGTGCCATAGTGACAGAGGCAAAGAACGTGGCTCCTGTCCACAGGAGACGTCTGGCTGGTGAACAGTGGCTGCAGTATAATGCAGAAGATGGCAGCGTTGCCTGGCTGCTCCATGTGTTTCTTCAGACTGAAGTTGAGAGAGTAATGAAAACTAATTTTAAAACTGAAAGGGCTCAAGAGATTCCAGAGTATTTAATGCTTTTCTCATTTGGGATATAATGTAATTATTTACATTGTTTTAAAATTCATTAAGTTCTTGCTTGCCTGTAATGAGAATGACATACTTAGGTTGTGTAGATATAGACCTTCTAAAGATAGAAGCTTAGATATACTCTTTTATAGATAGAATATAGAATAAAAATCATGAATGGCATTTGAACATAAATGTAGAGAGAAAGCTGGAAAGCTCCATAGTTGTTAGCTTAAGCAATTATGAAGGGCTTTGCTATTAGACCGAGCTCCTTGATATTCTTTTTGAATTACTTTATTGTTACAAGGTTCTACTCAATGCTGATCCCTGGAACTCTTTGTTTCAGCCTGTATGAACTCTTACCATTTTGTAAGAGCCAGCTCTACTGGATATTTTTCAGTTCCTTGCCCCACCTCGGTTTCTTTCTCACCTCAAATAAGTACCTGAGTATTTCTTACTCCCTCTACCACGGTTTCCCTACCCCTGTTATGTTTATCTAGTGCCTATTTCTCTTTTCAGTTGCAGCTTCAAACTTAGGATCAAGATTATAGATTTCAACAGGGTTCTTCTTCTTTTTCTTTTATATCTCTGTTTGAAATTTCCTAATCAGTATTCATCTTCCCTTTGAGAATGTGGCGGTGGGCGGGGGTTGGGGATCAAACCCAGCGGCAGTCTGCCACTGAGCTACATCCCCCGTTCTCCTCATTTTTTATTTTGAAACAGGATCTTGCTGAGTTGCCCAGGCTAGCCTTGAACTTGTGATGCCTCTGCCTCGGCCTCCCAAATAGGGTTACAGATGGTCCCACCTTGTCAGGCCTTCTGAGTGTTTAGTTCTGTTTAGGTTTATGCTCACTGTTTTACTCTCAAGTGTCTGCTACTATGTAACTGTTTCACCAAAAAGCAGGCTCTCATAAAAGAGTAAGCTCTACTTTATGCTCTACCTTATGCATAGGGAGCAACTCCTCAAAAGACACACACATATACCTTTACCTAGAGAAAGACATTCTAGCACAGTGCTTACACCATTTATAGTGCAGATTCTGAAATCAGACTGACGGGTTCACATGCCATATCTGTCCCGTATTAGCAGTGTAACCTTGGCCAGGATGTTTAACCTCGATATTCTTAAGCTTCTTATCTATAAAATTAGGATAACACCTGCCTCATGTTATGAGGTTGTCACGAGGAGTGACTTAAAACACACAGCATAAGTATACAACAATAGTAATAATAATTCTAAAATAACGGTCCTAGTCATCAGCATTCTTTTTCCTGTTCTCATGTTGACTTTTTCTCTGGCTATAGAATTGTTACCTATCCCAGGTGGAGCCAGAAGACAATAGTTTTGAGTGGTTAACTTATCCTTATTTTATATTTCAGACCAGATATCATTTTGTGAATACATTTTAGAATGTTAATAATGGACAGAGTTTGAGGCATTGGCATATAAACTATAAAAGTACTTTTAAGATGTATAACATCTTAGAATTTATTGTAGCACTTTGAAAGTCAAAATCAGATTCCTTTTTTTTTTTTACCCTGGTACTGGGAATTGAACTCGGGACCTTGAGCTTGCCAGACATGCACAGTGCCACTGAACTAAATCCCTGGCCACTCACTTTTGTTGTTTAAGACATAGTTGTATATAAACTATGAAAGCTGTATCTGCTTTACCAGTTAAATGTTTACTGACTTCTTAAATTTTATGTATTCAAGGATGAAAAGGCTCAAATGAACAATTGGAAATAGAAAATTAAGCTGATTCACTCACTCTTTGTGCTAGATAGTAGGACTAAATCAGTAGAAACAAACCAGGCTTTGGCCTTCAGGTAGCAGACAAACATTTAGGTATAATGATGCATGACATATTTTTAATAACTTCTGGGCTATAGATTTTATTATGAAATGTTTAGACACTGAGTATCTAGAACAGCCTTGTGAGCATGACTTGTGTTTCAGATGTAATGGTTAATCTTGACTTGATTGGAGTAAGAGATGCCTGGCAAGGTGGTTAGTTGGTGAGGGTGCTGAGCCATTGAGGAGTTCATAGGTAGAACAGTGTATTAGGAGGTGGGGCATAGGTGGAGGAATGGGTCACTAGGACATGCATCCTGTCCTCTGACCTTCATCTCAGCTCTTGCTCTCACTCTGCTTCCTGGCTGGTGTGAAATGAGCACCTTTCCTTTATCACACCCTTCTGCCATGGTATTTCTGACTTAGTGCCAGCACAGACCTCTGAAACTATGTGTCAAAACAAACCGTTCTTCCTTTAATTTATGCATGTCAGGTATTTTGTCCCAGCAATGGAAAGGTGACTAATATACACAAATAGAAAACAATTTGCTTGCTTGCTTTTAGGAACCCTCCGCCCTGAACCCAGTAGCCAACCCAGCACTCTGTATATCTGTCTCACCACTTTCATGGAGCCTTCCTGTACTGTAGAGCTCAGGAGGTAGAGGAAGCAATGTGATACCCTGCTGTTCTGAGTGTAGGTCTACTGGGAAACAACTACTGTACTTACTGAAATAAAGTGTGTTGAGTTAGCTTTATTGAACTGTTGTAGAGGAGGTCACCAGGTTGTCTTTTGTATATCACAGCAAGAACTGGACATGATTGTGTACATCCTTTGCCTTTGTGGAAATCAGTTTTAAAAGTTTATAGCGTATGTCGGGCATAGTCCTAGCACTTGGGAGGCTCAGGCTGAAGGGTCAGGAAATCTAGGCCAGCCAGGGCTAAATTACAAGTTTAGGGCCAGCCTGGTCTACATAGTGAAACTGTCATCCCCCGGAAAGTTTATTGCATAAGTAGATATGCTTCCAAGACTAGAGAGTTCTAAAAGAAACATTTTGCATAGAAATTCTTATGTAGGCATAGAATGCTGTGAAGAGCTCGGGTTTCTTAAAGGATCTACATGAATGACAGATGAAAGGAGCACATAAGCATCATAGTTTACATAGTACTAAGTAGATTTTAAGAAATAAACACCTAAGAATGTTATTTTTAAAGGCCAGACCTCAAAAGGAGCTAAGATGCTTCTGAGAGCATAAAAGAACATTTAAATTTGTGTTTGGAGCAAGAGCAACAAGAAGGAAAAGTTTCATTGTCTGAAGAAGATAATCTTATCATCCACTGTTTTTAGAGAGAAATCAGATCTATACCATTTCTGTTTTGCGTCTAGTATAATTTTGAAATACCACAATTACTTTTCCAACAGTAAAAAGTAAGATAAGCAACCTGAATCAGGAGAAATTAAACCAAAAGGAGATAAGATAGTTGAGTATTGGTTTAAATGAATTGAAAATTTTAAGACTCAAATGAATTGCCTACCAAGAGCTGAAGAGACTTAGGCTTCAGGGTTACTGTCAGACTTCACAAAATCATGGAGCATATAGGAAGTGCCAGAAGGCTGGAGAGAGACAAATGCCCGAGTTTCCAAAAAGGAATAAAATAGATTATGAAGCACAAGCCCTATTTCCTAATATAAAGTAATCTGTAGCAGAATTTGAAGAGATTATTTTTTTAAATGTAAATATTTAGAGAGGAAGGAATGATGACTGTGTTAGTTTTCTAACACTGTGATAAAATACTTGAGAAAGTCAGTATAAACAAGAAAGGTTTATCATAGCTTCCAGTTTCAGAGATTTCAAGCCATGTGGTCAAGTGGTTTGTTACTGTGGGACTAGGGAGAGGAATCGTGGCAGAAGAGCATAGTGAGCAGAGCTGTTTACCTCATGACAGTAGGACAGAGAGAAAAGGGCCAGGGACTGATTACAGTCCCTGGGTCATGCCCCATCGTCTGCTCCCTTAGGTGAGCTCTACCTCCAGTTTCCATCACCTTTCAGTAAGTCCATCAAAGTAAAATCTCACCAGAGTGTGAATCCATGACTGATGCTGGAATCCTCGTGACCCGGTCATTTCTTGAGAGCTCATCAGCTGGCATCCAAGCCATCAACACATTGAGCCTTTTGGGGGACATTTTAAATAATGTCTAACAGTCACCATCGTTCGTTGTGAATTCCTAAGAACAAGACATATTAAACTCTTTTTTCTCTTTCCAGTTTTGTAATTCTAGATTAGAGAATAGTAAAGACATGTTGTATCTTGACTTTAGCAAGTAGATGACAAAGTCTCCTTGTAAAATAGATGATGAAATATGGGTAATTAGACGATTTACAGGTGTTTGCTTGGTCACACCTATGCCAGCATGCCAAATAATAGCCAGTTGTTACACTGGTTCGTCAGAGAGAATTGGTGGTAAATGTTAATTTGCATATGTTCAGAAAGTAGAGATTTGTAATTCTGAGTTATTTTGACTAAAGACGTATATGTTGGAACTTGCACCTGGATATATTTATGTTATAGACATTTCTAGCCAAGCTATATATTTATTAGCAACTATGTTAACCTCCTCAAGTGTATGTGTTCCATACACTTGAAATGGCAAGTTTCTGTAAACTAACACAAAAGGCAGAAGTTCAGTATATAGATATTCTCAGTCATGTCTTTTTGAATTAGTGTTTCTTCTGGCCTTCAGTAATACCACAGTTAGCTGCCTATTCAAGATATTTATACTTTTTTAAAAAGAATTGCAAACCAGGCATGGTGATACATGCCTGTAATACCAGGCTGAGGTGAGAAGATTGCAAGCTTGAGCACAGCCTGGACAATTTGTGAGATCCTGTCTCAAAATTTAAAATTTTTACAAAGGCTAGGGATGTAGGGAAGGATGGGGGCTGTAAAACAGAGGTTGAGTGCTTTGTCAGCACGCACAAGGCCCGGGGTTCAATCGCTAGCAGGCTTAGCTGAAGGTGGTATGAATCCCAGTGGAGAGCAATGGACCATGTTCTGGAGGTATAAGTGACAAAGTTGCTGCTGGAGTAGACCTAGGTACAGAAGTGAAAAGGAATCGAGGATGCCATCTAGATTTGAAGATTGTTCCACCAGTTGATAGTACCATTATTTTCTAAGACTGGGAAAACTTGGGGAGAGGAAGATGTTGTGGGAGGGTGGAAGTAAGAGTTCTGTTTTGGCTGTCTAAAATTTAAGGTGCTTGTTTGGAATTTCCAAATATATATGCAATATTTATGAATGGGTTTGATGAGCTTGGAGCTTGGTATAGAGAGGTCAGTGTGAATTTGGAAGCTTTAAGTGTATAGGTATATTTAAAGATTTGGGACTAAGTGAAATTACCATGGGTATTTGTCATATTCTATGACCTATACCTCTGTCTCCTACCATGTAAAATTATACTGACATTGAAGTTCAGGTACATGTTACAGCATATATAGTAATTTGGTGCTAGCCAACTGTAGTGGCACATGCCTGTAATCTCAGCACTCTGGGAGTCTGAAGCAGGAGGATCACAAATTTGAACCCAGCCAGGTTAATTTAGCACTTAGCAAAAAACTGTATCCAAATAAAATATAAGTGGGGGGGGGGACAAGGGATGCAGCTCGGTGTAGGCCCTGGGTTCTACTTCTAGTACTGCAAATAAATTAATAATACTGCAATAATTGTAATTTGGTGTTTTTAGTATTTAGTCACTTGCTAAGTGGACATCTAACAGTTATGTTGTCTTCTGTTTTTTTGTAGGCAAAGTGATTAATAAAGATTTGCGACATTACCTGAGCCTTCAGTTTCAAAAAGGATCAATTGACCACAAACTGCAGCAAGTGATCAGAGATAATCTCTACCTGAGAACCATTCCATGTAAGTATATGCTGAAACAAATGAGACCAAAATATTCTTATTAACTAATTAAGCATCTAGAAATAATCTAGTAGGTCTCATGACATTTTAAAGACTAACTTGGGGATAAGAATGAAATAAAAATTGGATAAAGAGAAAAAGGAGAATTTTCAGAGGACTTCAGGGGTTTGGCTTTTAAAAGAAAAATGGGAAGATTTTATATTATGACTGTGCATCTTGTTAAGTAGATTTGGTTCCTAAAAATCACTTTCTAAAAGCCTATAACAGTAACTTTTTAGCTCTTGGTGCCTAGTACATGGAGAACAAACATTTTTTAGAACCTGACCAGCTTTAAAATTTCCCCCTTCCCCAGTGAGGAAAAAAGGAAGAAAAGAAATGGTACACGTTGCTTTCTTTGTTGTAATCTATTTGGAATTTTTTCTAGCTATTGGTTTTTATATTTTTCAAAAGGTCTGATTATTCTGCTATTTTTTGGTAAACATATAACAAGAAATCACATTCTTACACTCTGGCTTTGATTATTACAGGTCTTGGAAAGAATAAGCAGTAAACACTAAAGGGCATGTAAGGACCTTTATTTTCCTCTTCAATATATTTGTTAACTCCTTGTGGATACTAGTTTCATAGTTCTTTATTCTTTTCCTTCTTCTTAGTCTTGTAGAAGTTCCTATCACCAGAGTTTCCTAATCATGCTTTAAAAATATCCCTCTGCATCTCCTTAAGCCTTTGTCCTTTCTTGTATGGACTTATCTTCTTTTCCTTTTGTTTTTGCTTTAAACAACAAACAACATTGTGCAGTGGCAAAGAGGTAGGTAAAACTGAGTTCAAACTCCAGACTCTAGCATCTTGGTAGTTGCTTCACTTGGGCAAGTTGCTCTCTCTAAGCCTCAGAATCCCCACAAAATGAGAATAGTAGGCCTCACCTCATGCAGTTATTATCACTGAAATGAGAAGGCATGCGTGAAACACTTGACCTAGAGTAGGCACTCGGGCAGGTTGTCCTCCTCCTCCACTCTGACTGGATGCGGCCTCTCCTTGTCACCTCTGTCCACCATCCTGGACCCCTGGACCAAAATCTGACCCTGTGAGGCAAATTAAACTGAACCTTGCCTCCTTTAAGTTGCAGGCATTGAGTATTTTTTCTCAGTGGCAAGAAAGCTAACCAGTACACCTGAGGTATCTTTATTCTTGACTTTTCTGGGTCTGTTTTACAGATAGCTCTAGACTTTATACAATCTTAAACTTTCCTCCTCTTTTTTTTTTAAAGACAAGAATATAGTCCAGTCTGGCCTTGAAACTGCAATCCTCCTGCCTCAGCCTCTCATGTGCTGTGATTATAGGAATGTGCCACCATGCCTTGGCTTGGAACTTTATTAATGTGTTCATCTTTAGCTTGGGTTCTGCCATGTTTTTCTATTTTGCCATATGTCAGTCTTATTTAACAAGGCTTTTGCTTGTTAAGAGTCAATTTTTGTTTATTTCTTTAAGGAAGATTTGTATCTTCGAATGCTTAGCTCTTTAGTGTTATATTCTTCTTCTCCCTCCACTTTTTGCCCTTACTGTAAATAATACCTAAAATTATTTGTTCATTTCTTCTTTCTCATCATCTGATTTCAGAAGTACCTTTTTACTTCTTACAAGGTAATTAATAAGCTCATTCTACTTTCCATATGCTTTCCTTCTTTCCTGATGTTTAATAGTTAAGCTGAATCTATATTTGCAAAGCAAATAGGCATTAATTACGTTACTATACTGTCCCTTTTGTAATCATTTATTATTTTGTGAATAAATACATATTTAATCTTAGCACCAATTCTCATTATTTCTTAAGTAACTGTGGTCATCTAAAGCTTGTTTTCTGTTGGAGTTCCCAGAATAAGTTCATAGGATCATCTTGGCAGTTTTTCTGTGGCCTTTATACTTTCATGTTTGCTTGGATAGATATGACATTTTTTGGCTCTTATTTTCTTGACTATCTTGTTAGTCTAATTGTTTTCTGGCATGAAAAATAGCTCTTAAAAAGTCTGACAGCAACTTGATTTTCATTCCTTGTAAGTAGCTTGGTATTTTGCCTGCATGTAGAATCTAAGGATAACATTTTTAGTTTCATAGCTCTATAGAGTCCCTTCTTCCCTTGTTAAAACAGTGAAATAAAGATACACTTTCTAAGACCTGTCTCTTTTACTGCCCTCTGTCACTTTTATTTGGACTTTTTTATTTATTGTCCCAGTTTTGCAGTTTCTCCTTAGCGTGAAATTTTGTCCTGAAAGTTTATTTAGTTTTCATTCATAGAGCCAAGCCATTGCACCTTTTTTAGATCTTAATGGGACCTCTTAACTTACCAATTGAAATGTGCAAATTTCCTCTCTAATCCTAGAAGCAACGATATATCAGTAGCAGTTATCACACTAACCTCTAAATATCATTCTTTTTTTTTTTTTTGGTACCGGGGATTGAACTCGGGTCCTTGCTTGCAAGGCAGG